TTTTATAGAAAAATATTAAGGTTTCGCTTAGTTATTTAAGAAAAACCTTTTAATTTTCCTAGCTTAGCATTTTTAGGGCGTTCGTTTGTGTAGGGCGTTCGTTTATAAAGTACGTTAGTCTTTTTCTTTAACGTACTTTACAAGCGAGCTGGTCACACAAGCGAGCTAGTTACCTTCTCTTGGCAACGAAAATCAACGAAAATTAACTCGTTTTTCTTAAATAACTAAGCAAAACCTTAATATCTTTCTATAAAAATTTATATATATATTCTCTATAGTATATTACACCTTATAGTAAAGTTGCACTAAGATATATTACGTAATTAAAAAGCTATACGTATTTAACTAACTTTTAAGAAAAAATCTAGTTTACTTCTAGTAAGTACTATTATATCTCTATAATAATATATAAAACTTATAGTATATAGTATTTATAACGTAATAAAGGTTCCTGTCTCTCTGTTGCCGATGTCCACGTCCACGTCCACCCCCCTTCCCAAAAAGCTCCCCGCATAACAATCTATGAGATCGCTGTTTATTTCCCGGGTTCCGACCGCTTAATTCTCTTGCTTCGAACCAATGGGCGCTCGATTGGCGGGCCTGGCCCGGGGGTTGGCGTCCCCTGGATCTGGGTTGCTAGCTCTCCGATGAAACTGGCAACCGTACTATTTGAACCTCTCAAGGCCCAGCAGAGCAGTTGCGTTTTCCACATGTGGCCGCGGACCTGCCCAAATTAGAAGGTGACTTCACAATGCCGAGCCGCGTTCGTTACCTCCGTCAGCACCGTCGCGTGTGCCGGTCCGACCTCGTGAAGGGGCCATGGGTACTGCTCGGGCGCCTGCATCGTCGGATGAAATATCGTGATCTTTGTGCCCCTGAGTAGTATCCATGTCCTCAAAATACCGAACCCGCCGATGGCACCTTCTCTGAGGTAAAGAAGGTCGTGGCTAAGACTCTTGCTGATCAGCGCCCCGTCCACGTCGACACTGATTCCCTGTGTGTCGGCGGCGATGAGCCTTGCCGCGACGGCCCACATTTCTCTATCCCAAGTTGCCCCAGGCATGAAGTTGTGCATGATCTTCCAGTCGAGCTTTGTACCGAGGATATCGCACGGAGGAAGTGCCTAACGGCCCCTAGCTCTTCTCCGACGAAAACGTTTTCATGCACTGCCACGCGAGTTTTTGGCGACCTAACGCATTTGCACACTATCATCTCAGTCAGCAACCCATAGAATAGATCTAGCTACTGTTGCAGCTTACTTTGGAGGGAATCCTTTGTCGTTTCGGTGCTTGCCTCGTCCACCAGTGCTAGAACACGCCAGCCGAAAAGTGCGTCGCTGGTACCCATGCATCGGTCATTCATGTATCCTGTTAAAGCACCCAGAATACCTGAGCTCGCTGGTAGGGTGAAGGGGTCTGTCGAGGCGGTCGTTGTCATTTTTCCGCGGCCATCGGAAATGTCCGAGTCTCTCCAGCCGTCCCCGAAAGAATCCATGTCGACCATGTGGAACATCCAGAGAGCGGCGGGAGAGTACTGCCCAACCTTAGGCATATGTCCCTTCATCTCGTCAATGCCCTTCTCATGCTGAGGGGCTGCAAGTATTCCGCCATCCGCTGCGGTTTCAGTCGCCATGCCTCCACCTTCTCGATGATGTCGCTGATGCCGAATTGCACTGGCATTGCTAGCTGAGGTGTTACTCCATCCTTGAAAAATCATTAGCGGTAGCATATCGCTAGGGGAGGGTGTACCCACCGTCGCTTGCCAGCATCGCGCCGCTTGTTCGGCGTCCAGAACGTAAAAAAGCTCGCGCTCAGGCGCTCTCCATTCTCCAACGCCTGCATCTTTGCAGCCTGAAGGCTTGCGATCTTGCTGTAATCTGAACCTTGCCCACGGATGTCGAACCCTGCTGCGCGCAACGCCTGTAGACAGTCCTTGTAGAACATGAGTTCTCCGAGGTGAATAATGCCACACCCCTCCGCGAAATATCTAACCCATGCATCGAGGCCGGCTTGCTTGTAATCCATGCGGGTGATGTAGCGCGAATGCAAGTCATCAGCAAGAAGACCTATTGTTTAACTCCGAGCTTTAGAACCCGTTAAACCCCTCCTGTCGCCCTCCAGCACCTCATCCAAATACCCACCAAATCCGCATTCATCCCTGAAACCCTCCAGGCCGCGCAATCCGCTATTCAAACCCTCAGAGCACTTAAACCTGCTAACCTTCCCCTCGTCGCCCTTCAGCACTGAACACATATACGCCAAGTATCCGTATACAGTACTGAAGGCCTCCAGGCCAAGCAATCTGTCGTTTCAACCTCACACCTTTTTGAACCGCTAAACGTCTCCTGTCGCCCTTCAGTGCTGCATACGGATATCTGGCATATACGCATTCTGTGCTGAATGCCTTTAGGTAAGGCAATCAGTCTCTACACCGACTCAACCTCGAATAGTATATAGCATGTAGGTGTAGACGTTTATCTCCCCTCTCCACATCTAGTAAGCTTATTGTATAGGATACTTCCCCAACACGCACGGGAACACGGTCAATAGAGTCACTCGAGTAAGCATGGCCACGCATCTGAGCAAAAGCCGGTTGTGCTGAATTAGTACGGATAGACGTGCCGAAGCCATATCCGTTGTTCAAACCTCGAGAATGCAATGGGTAATATTCCTTCTGTTGACTCGGTGTATAGGCGCGCAAACGCAGGCGCATGTTGCTCTCCGGCGCTCTGATGGCAATGTCATCGTATCGGAGCACAAATGCAGGTTGGGCACTCTCTCCGTCCACGACCACGTAAACACAGACGGTGCCGAAGACCTCCAGCTTGGGCGTTGTGCAGTCAAGCAGAATGAACTGGCACGCGTGGCTGATTATCTACATGATCTACATGATCTCGCATGCATATATGACGTCGTTCAAGGCCAGATCACGCCAGATCACGCACCCACGAGCTGTGTTTATTTCTGCGGGTTAAGCTGGATTGTTAGTCATACCACGAAGTGGGACTCTTGGCTGGGCTAGCCGCCTCACCGTTTTGTGGCTCCGAGCTTTTGAAGAACGGCGCTCTGTCCAGTCCGCTCAAAGAGATGCCGGTGAATGTCCAAGCACTTAAGAACAGCGGTAGATCCAAAGTCCGGAGCGGGATGCGTCTGCGTCCACCTAGAAATCAAAAGTCTGGAACATGCAATAACTTGCGCGCCGTTCTGGCCAGTGATTGTGAGAAAAGGGGGTCATGCTGTTCATCCGTGGGCACTTAGCAAAGGTTCCATCCCTAGCTCTTCGGAGACGATTGGCTTCGTGAAACAATATCTGCTTTACATTGCTGGGATATATCTGTAAATGCGCAGTGAGCTATCATACATGTGGTGTCGAGGCCTCGGCCCATACGAGAAATTGGCAGATTTTGCAGCGAAGATGCTCGATACATGATGCTAGCGAGTGTTGATACCTAGGTACTGCCGCCTACCCAGTCTCTTAGCTCATCCACTGAACCGGGTCCGTCCCGGCGCGGCACCGGGCGAGGAATCCAGTGTCCACCCGCCTGAGGCAGACGCCGTCTTCGTCCAGACAGTGATCGCATGCAAACAGCGGTGAGCCGTCCGATCTGTCAAAGTGCGTCTTAAGCTTCTTCTTTTTGCGCTTCACGCAGACCGCGATGTCCAGTCCGCCTCCACGCACGCCGGGCTTCGGGATATCGAGAGCCAGCTGAATCGCAGCGTGCTTAACAGCGTCTGGAACGAGATCAGGATCGACTGACCTGCCCCTCGCGTCCGTAAACCAGATTTCCTCACCGGAGGGGAGCGCACGAGCGTGTGAGGGCTGGCGTAGATCCGGGTCTTCTCCTTGTAGGTGCCGGCTAGCTTGCAGCCGTGAGGGGATAGGAGTCTGAAAGACTTCTGGGCACGTGGCGCCCTGGCGATATGGGCGGGGGCCGATAGGGGCCTGAAGGCCTTCTGGAGGCATGATGTCTTGATGACCTGCATGCATGACACCGGCGGAGAGCTGGTTCCTAGCCTCGCGAACGTTCGAGGGAAGCTGGTGGTCAAGAGTCGCCTTCATGAGTTCCACATCCTTCCCCGTAGTTTCCATGAAGCGCTCCGTGTTCCTCATTTGTCAACGAGTTTCAGCAGCAGGCTTCCAGACTTGTCAACGTACGCACCATGCCATATATAAGAGCCATCAATTCCCAATGGGCTACGTCAGAAACTGGGCGCTCCGTCGCCGGCTGGGACCCTGGAATATGGGGAGTTTTGCTGGACGAGAAGTGCGTTGCCTGGGCTCGCTTGCGCTGCGGTGGCGGTTCTAGTAGCCCGGTCTCATCACCCTCCCGGGGCTCAAGCAGAAGCTCGGGTTCTGGTTGGGGAACGATAGAAAGCTTAGTATAGCCACGGCTACCGCCCCGGTGGGCGTAGCTAGTGTCGTGAGCGGCTGTTCCGGCGTAGTTCATGCCCGGGCGGGGGTAGCGGTTGCTTGGCGGGCTTCGGTGCTGTGGTCGTGGCAGCACGCTGATATTGGTAGTGGCAGTCAGCGCATAGTACTCGGGCGCGGGAGTGGGGGCCAGCTCACTGCATCTCTGGAGAGGGTTGTGCCCTGGAAGCTTCGTTGGCGAAATTGCTGGCGTGGCCCACGCCCGCAGGGAGAACGTCGCTTGTTGAGCCGAGCTGCAAATGTGGCAATACTTGTTAGCAAGTGTGACTGACTAAACATACATGCTGCTAAAAGGGCTGCGAAGATCATACCAAGCTCACTGCAGCAGTACGCTTGCGATTGGCGGTCAACAGTGGTGCGGGTGCGAGCTGCCTTGGCACACGGTGCTCCACGCCATTGTTGAGCTCAGTGGCTTCGGGAAACGCGTGCTGGTCACCCTCCATGGTACGGAAGCCGGGTTCGGGCGAGATGGGGCTCTCCCGGTGCGTGCCGCCATACACGCTGTTCGGGTGCGTGTTGTCAGCAAGGCTACGCGCCCTAGAGTAGTTTGCGTCTCCGATGTCCTCATTCGGCGTGACCGTCTCGGAGAACGAGGACGGGGCCGCCTCGCTGGTCACGGTTAGCAGCTGACGCTTCTCTCAGGCCGAAAGCACCTGCCTACTACCGTACGGCAGAGGGGAGTCCTCTGCCCGAGTCTGTGGAAACAGCGGGGCGGCTGCGGCATTAGCGGTGGCGGCTGCTGGGTCGAACTCCTCTGCGTGGCAGGAGTCGGTGGGTTAGCCGCCATGGCGACTGATGGCTATCGCTGTGGGCGTGGCAGATGGCGATGTGGTGTTGAGGTGTTGTGGTGAGGAAGAGGGGCTGCAACGAATGGTGAGGTCGCTCCTACTCCCCCAGGTGCGGCAGGTGCGCCTCAAGAATAGCGAAGGCAGCCACGGCCCACCGCTATTCTCGCAGACGTCATTACAGCGTCGATGCTGTCTCGGCGAAGACCACGCCTCCTTTGAACAGCACCCCCGGAGCCATGTCCACCCTCACCTGGCCGCCTTCCAAACCACACCCCTTATCCCAACAACCTCCCCCGCAAACCCCCTAGTGGCTGATTCGTCGCCAGCCTCCTCTCCCTATAATTCTCTCACTCATCGTCTTACTCGCCAGCCTCAGGGACTCGCCCGCTGCAAACAGTTAGGCAATACTAAAGTCGTACTACGATGCTGCGAGCCAGCGGTTCGGCTGGCGCAGGAAGGGCGCTGGTTTATACAAGCGAAAGAGATGCTTTCCATGGGCCGCGCTAACTGGGTAGACTCCTGCAGAGCAACTATATACTCTCTTTGTTCTTCATCAGAGGCCGATCACTAAGCACGATTGAATAGGTAAGGAACCCTCGCTCTGAATGCCGAACTCCGGTCAGCGCGAGTACAAGCCCTGTCTTCGAAAAGAGAGGAAGCTCAGACCATTCTGGCTAACGGACCGCAGCATTGGATGGAACAGGTTTAGGACTTCTTCCCATCTTCGCTGACCACGACATTCTCAACAGAGCCCCGTCCCATTCCGGTCTCCGATATGCCCATGACGGACGAATCCTCATCAAGGGGAATGACGCCGATCCGTCGAGCTTCCGCCGGCGAAAAGGTGCCGTATACGTCAACCTCATCGATTTGGTCCATGTCCGGCACTGGGAAGGCAAGGTTGAGCAGGTAGAACACGACTGCGCTGATAAAGAAGCCTGCAATTTATCAGTCAGGAGGCCTTGAGGAGGCACACAAGGCTTACCAATCAAGAACGCCATGTAGTACAGCTGCACGAGCGCCCGAGGTGGACTTGGGTCCATTCGGACAGTCACCACCAGACCGCCGATCGTTGGTGCCCAGCCACAGATCCAAGCAGGTATCGCTCGCCAGTTGACTCCCTTCCAGAAGGTGTAGCAGGAGTTCTTCGTCCGGTACAAGTGGCTCAGCCTAATCCTTCGTCTGCGGAGAACGTAGTAGTCGCATGCCATGATACCCATGATGGGCGCCAAGAATACGGAGAAAGACGACAGAACGGTGATGAAGGTAGTTGCGCGATTGATGAGCTGCCACGGTTGCACGATCCAGGCGGCTACGAACGTAATGATCGCACCACGACGGATATCAATGTATCGTGGGAAGAGACCAGCCAAGTCGATACCGCCCGCGATGGCGTTTCCGCAAATGTTTTCGAACATGGCGGTGAATGCGAAGCCAGCAGAGAGGAAAAAGACCCCCGCTCGCGCCTTCGAGGACCCGTTACCGCTGTCCATCATAACCATTAGGAGATCAGGTGGGTTCCAGTACACCTCGCCGTATATCTTCTGGGCAGCAGCGGCAGTAACGAGACCGATGAAGGAAACCAGGACTCCAGTGATAAGGCAGCTGGTTATTGTGCCGATAACATAGTGTCGCCGCGCACTTGCATAACGGGAGAAGTCGGATCCGTTGGTGATGCCAGCTGCGAGCCCACCCACCATCTGGTTTATGCCGGCCATGATCAGCCAGGATGAGCTCCACGCAGAACCAACGGGCAGCTGCTGTCCTGAGTTCCAGAGCGGACCGACGCCTTTCGCCGTTGCGAGAGCCCAGATCATCCAAGCAAGCATACCGACACCGCACCACGTGCATACGATCTGGAACGGCAGCTTGAACTTCTCTGGGCGAAGCCATAGGAACGGAGTCGAGAGGAACCAGAAGACAACGAAGCCGACGAATTCGTATGTTGTAGTAGGCATGTTGGAACCGAACGTATTTGGGATCCGCGCAAAGGACGGCCAGATGGCCGTTATGCATACCGCACACAGTCTACCGCCGTTCCAGCCTTGGCCTAGCTCAGTATCTTGGGAGTGTGAGAGACGGAGAACGCTTACATTGAACGGCATTCCAGATGAAGTTCAACAAGATACGCTGAAGGAGCGGGATGTAACTCGCCCGCATACCCCACGAATACCGATTCTGCACCGTAAACCCGATATGCCACTTCAGACCCGCCCAGGCGATGAGCGTCGAGAAAAGCGCAATGAGCACTCTGCCAACGACGATGATGAGCATGGCCTGGCGGACCGAAAGGCCCATCGCTGCACGTTGTCAGAACTCCATATCGTCGTCAAAAGCATCTTCCGTACATACTCAAGTACGTGCTCGGCGTCTGCCAATTCGCAACATTGAGACTCGCAATCGCCCAGAAGCCGAAGAAATTGAACCATCCCCACGTCCTCCGCGACGGCGGTAGCGGAATCAAGTCGCGGTTGCTCCACGAGTCGGTCTGTTCATGCTGAGCTGCGTCGCCCTTTAGCCGGATTTTCTCATCTAATGAAACGAGGCGCTGCCGGAAAGCCATCCTCGACGGTCACTGCGAGACGCGATGTGCAATGTCCGGACGAAAGTGCGCTGGAGGTCGTCAGGCTCCATGGTGAAAAGGCCTGCGGATGCAGAGCATGCCAAGAGCGATCCCTGGTCTCATGCTGTGATAACCACGCCGGCGGACGACTCGAAAGCGGAATCCGTGATACGCGGGGGCATAAGTGGCGAGAGTGGGATGAAAATCAATCAGATTGATAAAAGACCAAGAGGATCATCGTATAGGCGTCGAATAAGCGGCTGCTGCGGGGTTGACGATGTGCGTGTTGGGGTTGTGCTGCAGGGACGCTTGCGAGAGGATGGAAGGTGGTTCGGCCAGGCTCGGGCTTCGCGCGTCCGATCTTCGGCCTGGCCTATCTTATCTGATGTGATCCTCTCGTGATTGCGCAGCCCCGCCATGAGACGCCCTCTTCTCCCCTCTCAAGATTGCCATCGTTCCGACCTCGCTGCTGATCTGTACTGCCAATCATGGGTTCTCATGTGCAGAAGACTTTGCGTATTGGCGTCGACGTCGGCGGGTAAGCCCCGGGATCGCTTCATCGTCGTCTAGCACCCTCAATTACTAACGCGTCGAAAGAACAAACACGGATGGAGTCATTATCGACCCGACGAGGGCCGGGGATCCCAATAAGGGGATTATCGCATGGTATGGCAATATCTCCTAAAACCAAGGGCATCCGTCGCACGTGACCGCACATTCACACATTCGTCCTCTTCCACGGGAGGACACACGCGCGTAGTTCTAGTCACGGGTGTATACCATCTAGCCATGGCAACAATCTCCATCGCTCTAACAGATTGGGTACCCCAGGCACAAAGCCCCCACAACTACCAACCCCAGCCATGGCATCGCCGCCGCCGTAACCACCATGTTCGCACACGCCTCCATAGACCCGGACAGCATAGCCAGCGTAACAATCGGCACCACCCACTTCGTCAATGCAGTAGTAACCCGCGACGCTACCCGCCTCTCCCGCGTCGCCATCCTGCGCCTCAGCGGCCCCTTCAGCAAGCACGCACCGCCGTGCGTGGACTGGCCCTCTTCGCTTCGAAGCCTCATCCTCGGCCACTACGCGCTCGTAAAGGGCGGGTTAGAAGTAGACGGTAGCTTGATCTCAGACATCAAGGAAGCTGAGATCGTAGAGCAGTGTAGAATTATCAAAGAGAAAGGTATTAAGAGTATAGTGATCAATGGGGTGTTTAGTCCGATTGACACGGTTGAGAAGCAAGAGGAAAGGGTGGCGGAGATAGTGAAGAGGGAGTTGGGCGAGGACGCGGATGTTGTGCTGAGTAAGACGGTTGCGAATCTGGGGTTTTTGGAGCGGGAGAACGCGGCTATTCTGAACGCGTCGATTCTCTCGTTTGCGAGACGCACGATTGCGTCGTTCCAGACGCCGATTAAGAGACTGGGTCTGCACTGCCCGGTTTTCATCACACAGAACGATGGCACGATTCTCTCCGGGGATGCGGCTGCTCGGCTGCCGATCCGCACGTTTAGCTCTGGCCCGACGAATAGTATGCGCGGCGCAGCTTTCCTCGTTGGGAAGCAAGAGAAGGGTGAAGCGATGATGGTTGTTGACGTGGGAGGCACGACGACGGATGTAGGCCTGTTGCTCGCGAACGGATTCCCGAGGCAGCAAGCGGCATATTCGGAACTGAGCGGCGTGCGGATGAACTTCTCATACCCGGATGTGAAAAGCATTGGGCTCGGAGGCGGCTCCCTCGTCCGAAGAATCGACGGCAAAATGCACGTCGGACCAGAATCCGTAGGCTACAAACTCCCGGAGAAGGCGCTCGTCTTTGGCGGCGATGTTCCAACAGCAACAGACTATACCGTCGCTTCATCGTCTGATCTCACAATCGGCGACCCGGAAAAGGTCAACGGAAAGCTATCCGAAAACGACATCTTAGCCTTCCAATCCGAAACGAAAAGAATGCTCGAACGCATAATCGACACGATGAAAACCTCACCCGCAGACCTCCCTGTCCTCCTCGTCGGCGGTGGCGCCGTGATCGCCCCCGACTCCCTCAAAGGCGCAAGCCGCGTTACCAAGCCCGAATGGTCTGGCGTAGCTAACGCAATCGGCGCAGCAATGGCGCGAGTAAGCGCTGTAATTGATACAGTGAAGTCCACGGAAAAGAAGACCACGAAAGAGCTGCTGGTTGAGATTGAAGAAGAAGCGAAGCGAAAGACTGTGGAGGCAGGTGCAGCAGAGGACAGTGTGGAGGTCGTGGAGGTGGAGACGCTGCCGTTGCAATATATTGCGCACAAGACACGTTTTATTGTGCGAGCGGCGGGGGATTTCGATTATGCGCGGTCGGCGGACTTTGCGAAGCTGCATATCAACGACGAAGAGGCGGCGACGGAGGAAGAAACGGCGGAGAACGGCATTGCGCCACCGTCGATCGAGGATACATCCGCGGAAGAAGTCGCGGGGATAGATGTGGATTTCTCGACTTACAGACCCAAGGTTGTGAATCGGGAGTGGTGGATCTCGGAAACGGATTTGCAGTGGATAACAATAGGCTGCTACATCCTAGGCACCGGAGGCGGAGGCTCACCTTACTCTACCATGTTACGCGTGCGTGGGATACTGCGAGCTGGAGGCACCATACGTGTCGTTAACCCCGACGACCTCAAAGATGACGATCGCGTCGGTTGCGGCGGCGGTGCCGGTAGTCCAACCGTGGGCATCGAGAAACTGAGTGGTGATGAGTATGTCTCTTGTCCTCCTCCACGGCAACATCGCTAACCACGCCACAGGATGATGCAAGCGCAACAGCATCTCTACGCCCTCTTCACCGGCGGCCGCGCCACCCACATCATCCCGCTCGAAATCGGCGGCTCCAACGGCCTGCAAGGCCTCGTCCTCGGCGCCTCCCCCAACATGAACATCCCCTGCGTAGACGGCGACTGGATGGGCCGGGCCTACCCGACAAAGTGGCAGACCACGCCCGTCGTCTTCGGCGAGCGCGAGATCGTCTTCGCCCCGGTGTCCGTCGCTGACGGGAATGGCAACGTGCTGTATATGCCGACTGCGACGAGCGACCTGAAAGTCGAACAGGTGATTCGGGCTGCGCTGAGCCAGATGGGGAGCCATGTGGGGTGTGCGGATGGCCCGGTTACTGGGGCGGAGACGAGGAGGTGGGCGGTTGAGCATACGGTGTCGTTGAGTTGGCGGATCGGGAGGGAGGTCGAGAGGGCGAGGAGGGAGAATAGGATTGATAGTGTGGCGGAGTGTATTATTGATGCTGTCGGTGGGCCGGAGACGGGACGTGTGCTGTTCAAAGGGAAGATCGTGGGCGTGGAACGGCGGCTGTGGATGGGCCATGTGTATGGCGAAGTCATCATCGACGGCAGCGGGGACGCGGGGTTTGCCGGGAAGATCAAGATCCCGTTCAAGAACGAGAATATCGCCGTGTTACGGATCCACGAGGGGCAGGAAAGCAAGACGGGCGAAGAGCGGAACGAGGATGTGTTGGCGATCGTGCCGGATCTGATATCGGTGATTGACGCGCAGAATGGAGAAGCGATAGGGACGCCCGAGTATCGGTACGGCTTGTTGGTGCTTGTGATTGGGATCACGGCGAGCGAGCGGTGGACGAGTCCGAGGGGTGTTGAGCTTGGAGGGCCGAAGTCGTTCGGGCTGGATCATTTAGAGTACAAGCCGCTGGGGAAGTTCGTGAAGCCCGTGAGTGTTATTGATGAGTATGACGGCAAGGCATAAACCCTAGACTAGAATTAACGGTTTCAGAAAGGAGGGAGAGCATCGGAGAATCTGAAGGGTTCAAAGTCTAGTCTATGCAGCATCCGCGCCTACCGTATGTGTAACCCCCGAGTACAACGGCATGATAACTTTGACCGCCGCCTCATAACTGGTAAAAAGAATACCGCCGGAGAATATCGTCCGCCCCAGCCTCATCGTCGTGCCTCTCCAGAAGCCCCTAACCCCATAATCAAGCAAGATGCTCTTAACAGCCTCGACCGTGCTCGTCCCATGCGCGCTCTGCGACCGCGTCTTAATAACGTCAAAAGGTTGCGTGCAAAGCGTCGTCACAATCCCCGCGACCGACCCATTCCCAAAGTTGACAAGCGTGCTCTGTTGAATATCCCGCTTCGTCTCGAAGTCCTTAAGGATATTATACGTCCCCATGCGAAACGCCGTCGCAGACGCTTGCTTGAGCGTAGTCCCGGCGAATCCGCGGTAGAGACCCAGGATGCCGTGCTCTTGATAGATAACTCTCGTTGCATGGAGGCCGGAGCGGAAGCGCCGCTCGTTCCGCGCGTCGTCGATAAGCGCGGTTTTGATGCGTTCGGTGGGCGTCACGGCGGTTATGGACGCTACGACCCCGGCGGTCATGCCGGCGGCGAGGTTGCGCAGCGGTGAGAGAGTCCCGGTTTCGGGGTCGGCGAAGGAGTTTTTTATTTGGTCGAAGAAGAGGAAGCGCACGCCGTCTTTTCCTATGGAGCCCTGTGCTTTTTGTGTTGGTGTGTGTCATGCGTGGGTCTTGAGAGTTGGGAGGGCGTTTCAGATGATCGGGAAGTCCCGGGAAAGAAAGAAACCAGATGGGCAGAAGAAGAAAATTTTGACGTGGACATTAGGATAGAGTGAGAAGCAAAGCATGGCGTGAAAGGGCAGACATACAACAACAAGCGCAGCGCAACCTTTATACAACGCGCGGATGCCCTCTTTTCGGTAGACCTGCGTGACGACGAGGAAGGGGTTGCGCGGCGTTGGAATGCCCTTCTGGCTTCTCAATTGCACCCGCGTCTTCGCGAACTCTAGGGGATACTAATCGACGAGCATGAGATTTCATAATTCCTCCAGTTAGGAGCAGGACAGGGGCAGGGCGTACGGATGTAAAAGCTTCGATGCCGCCTGCCACACCGCCGGCGGCTAGGGACACTATGGGCGGTGTCTTTGCATCCTGGATTGAGTTAGCGCGAGTGTTTGAAGTGGGAGAGCAATGGATACGTTTGCCCCGGACACCATTGGATATAAGGATGCTGGAGGTAGGGTGTTGAAGTGGTCAGTGTTTCCGGAGAGAAAGTTGCGGTATCCCGATGCCCGTTACGTTAGCCGAGGCCCGGTTTGAGCCTTAGCGCTGTCCATTCCGTCATTGTCACGTGCACACGCGTTTTGGATGTTCTATAATTTCTAAAAGATAATAGGCAGTCTTAGGGAACGCGCATGTCCACTCGTATATTGGTGTGTCATCCTTGAAAGGCTCTCCAGCGCTTGATTTTTTGGATGACGTAACAAGGTCTGTGCGGTGGGTGAGAAAGTCGCGATAGCCATCACACCTTCACGACATCCATCTGAACATCATCCGATCGAAAATTCTCCTTTTCTAAAAATGAACACAGACAAGGTTTCGATTGCGAAAAGGTGTCCTTTGCTTGGGGAGAGCCGCCACTCCCACGGACGAAAGCAGCCTACGCCTCCTGCGCAACTAGCACGCCTCGGTAGCGCATCTTGTTGCCATTGAGCTTCCCAATAGCCTCCTGGATACCCTTCTCAGTCAGCTCAAACTTCTCCACCCAGGGCTTCACATCATGCGCCGCGGCGAATGCAAGCATCTCGTCGTGCTTGGCCCGAGACGCGACGAGACTGGAGCGGACGTTGTACCCGTCGAAGAAGAGCGGGAAAGCACTGGAGTCGAGAATCAGCAATGCTCTCAACACGTTAGCAATTTTGAGACCTACGGGAGTTCTATAGCCCCATGCGGAGCAGAGAGAGGCACGATGTTGCCGGCACGAGCGACGACGTTCTTTACTAGGAACCTATCCCATTAGTAAGTGTTCGCCCCCTCCTTGCGTGCGGAGACTCACTTGTTCCAGTCCGGGTAGCGGTTACCCGCCACGACCAGCGTATTCACTGGCTTCTGGATCTTGTCGAGCTCGTCTAACAGGTAGAACTCGGACGCACCCAGCTTCCGAGCTTCCTCCTCCTTGCTTTTGCTGGTGCTGAAAACCACGACTTCAGTTCCAAGCTTTCGTGCGAATTGGACAGCGAGATGGCCTAGGCCTCCGATTCCGATGATGCCGACGCGCTCTCCTGGCTTTACGACGGATACAAGGGCGTTGTACGTCGTCGCTCCGGCGCACTGCATCGGCGCAGCATGCTCACTTGCCATGCTCTCCGGGATTTTGTGGAGATATGTCTCGACTCCGACGTAATACTCGCTATTCGAGACGCTTAGTGCATATCTCGGCGGCCCAGTCCCCAATACTTACCCAAAAGTCCCGTTGTCATAGTCTTTTTCACCGTAGACGCTGCGCTCGTAGCACCAGATATCCTGCCCGGACAGGCAGTAGCTGCAGTGGCCGCAGGAGTTGCGATGGTACCCGCCACCGGCTCGGTCCCCGACTTTAAACTGGGTCACGTCGCTTCCGATCGCTTCAACTATGCCCACGCCCTCATGGCCAAGAGCGATACCGTAAGGGATATACGCGAGATCCGTCCCGCATAAACCGGAGTGCGTGATCTTGACAAGGACTTCTTTTGGCCCAAGGGAAGGCAGTTTGGCCAGCGCCTTCTTCACGGCTCCCTCGCTCCCACGGTAGACAGAGTATTCGGTTGCTGGTGCAGGCGTCATGGCTGATCGGATTGAGAAGAATGAGATGAGTTTGACCGATTCTCCGCAATACAGGCCTCTTTTCTTTATACCCTCTCTGTCCTATTCATCTTCATGCCCCGCATACTAATCACTCTTGGGGATCGTCAGTCTAAAGCGGTTCTGAAAATCCGATTACAAGCTATCTTGATGTGGCGGGCGTTCGTTGGTGTTGGTAATCGTCCATTTCTACCCGAAACGTCTACTAACTACCTATTCAGGGGTCGTGCCGCTATCGCCATGATGCCTTAGGCGGCTTAGTCACTGCGCCGTGGCCATTCGCCAACAGAGACCGATCTACTTGTGCGGTTGATCTGGTCTTACATGCGTCGGCCGTCGCATCCGCCGTTAGCGAGGCGTACCAACGATAAAGTAATCAACCACTCATTGCAGGATTACTCATCGACCTCATGCCTTTCTCACCAGCAACACTATTCGGAAAACCATTCTAATACTCTAGCATTCTTTGGCCTTGTTGATATTTTTGTCTCATCCACGGCAAAAGCACAGCGGGCTCCGGGTCTCTGGCGCGCGCTCATGCTCTCTATGAAATTAGCGGCACCGTAGACATACGAACGAAGCTTGCCTATTCTCCTAATGACGGTTCTTATGCGCGATACACGCCACTCGAAACACCGGCTGGATCTGTATCCAGAACCGCAACACTCAACTCGGGCAGACTGAACTCAAACGCTCCTGCCACGCCCGCTGTCACTTCTCTCGTCGTCGAGTTAACAATATTTACACCCGTAAACGGGTCGTTGTATGCATACGGATCGCCCACAGTGTTGGTCAAAACAGTTAGCGACGCTTTGGTGCCTGGCGTGACTCCCTGAAAGTGTACCGACACGGGGACGTCGCTGCTGTTGGTCGTATTGTATACGGCTCCCTTCCAGACCAGTGCGTTCCTTGGATCATCTTTGCCGGCGCCCCAGTACAGCGGGCCGTAGCTGGAATTGCTCACCGTAGGGAGCGTGTCGCTGATAGGGTGGTGTGCGAAAAGGCTCCAGCAGTACCACGTCACGGCGCGTGTCGTCATGTTCGGGTCCGCGCTGAACTGGATAAGCGTGATTGGCCATTGGAATTTGTTCACGTTCTTGAGGACCGGGGCGTAAAAGGCGCCTGGTATGCGGTCCGAGTTGCGCTCATACCCTATCAGTGAGATTGCCTCGCCCACCGCGCCGATCCACCACGGATATATGTACAATGGGCCGTCCCAGCGGGGAGGTGTGGCCCCGTTGACATGCGTCGCGGCTACTTCGCCAACGATGTGGCCGATGTCGTTATCGAAGCGGTCGAATTCGTCCACCAGCTCGTCGGGCTCACGATAGGGATGGTAATCCCCGATCGCACCCGACGTCTTGCTGAAGTCGAGCCCTTCCTCTAGGTTTGGCCCCGTCGTCTCACCCTCTGGGGCTGGATCGCTGGTAGCGGCAGCGGCGATGACTTGCATGTCCGGATACTCGGCTTTGATGGCATCGAAGAACATCTGGAAGCGGTACTGTCGATACGAGTCCCATCCTTCGGGGTAGCCGGCCAACCAGTCCTCATTGCCTATCTCCACGTAATTCAGCTCAAACGGCTCAGGATGGCCGAGCTCGGCACGACGCGAACCCCAAGTAGAGTCCGCTGGTCCGCATACGAATTCAATCTCGTTCAGGGCGTCGTCGATGAAGGGCTGCAGGTCCTCTTGAGGCGTGACCCCGCCATCAAGCGCTAAGCCGGCCCAAACGGCGAGTACTACAAGTCGGTTAGGGAACGTCTTGTCACGATCGCAAAGCCTGGGAACGGGACGCTTACCAATTTGCAAGTTCATGTCTTCGGCCCACTCGAGGTATTCCATGAGACCCAGGCCATGTGTTTGCTGATAGCCCCACACGCCTTGGAAGCCCGGACGGTCCTTCAACGGCCCAAGGGTGTCCTTCCAGTCCCAATACGTGTCGTTAGTAAGGCCTTCGAGCATATTTCCACCGGGGAAGCGGAGGAAGTGCTAACGCCGCATCAGTCTTTTTCACATCAACAAATGAAGCGAGACTGGGGACATACAGGGTTCATATCCGCGAGCGCCTCGGCAATATCAACTCGTAGTCCATTCTTCCTACCCTTATATGTCGGCGGAAAAAGACTGATAAGATTGAATGCTAGTGCACCATTCTGTGCGCTTGCCGGGTCAAAGGTGACCGAAAACGTGTTGTTGGAATTCGGAGCATCCTTCTCAGGCACGATCTCGAATGCGTGTTCCGTCCACTCGTCCGCAATAGCCTTAGACTTCACTTCGACCGATCCAAAAACCTCATCCGTCAAGTTGGACTGCATCGACGCAGTGAATGACCCGTTGTAAGCGCCCTTAACCCAGAACGACCCTATATACTTTTGCTGACTAACAGCCATTCCCCAGTAGCCCTCGTTCTTGAAGCCAATCTTACCGCTACTGTTGCTGCTCGCCGCAACGCGCATCGAAGCCGGTAACGCCTTCGACAGCGGCTCGTCCAGGAACTGGATGCTCAGACTGGCGCCATTGATGGGGAAGTAATGCGCCGTTGAGACGGAGAACTCTGGGCTGTACTGGAAGGCGCGGTTTTGGATCAGCTCGGCGTAGATGCCGCCGTCACCGGAGTTGTTGATGTCCTGGAGACGGTTAGTGAACGTGTAGTAGCTTTGAGGAATTTCGGGGCTCACTTCGTGCAGGAAACCGTAGCCATATGGATGCCCAAATTTGCCCGTCACGTTGCCGCCGGAAGATTGAACGATGATGTCGACTGCAGCGGCACATCCGAAGCACGTCGCGGCTGCGAGAGCCTGCTTGAAGAGCACCATCTTGACCAGGGAAGTCTTCGCTGCTCGCGAGATCGAAAGCGCATTCGCACGTCGGCATTGCGGACTTTTAAATCTTCTTGTTCTTCCCGTCCCCATTTAGCCAGCATCTTGGTAGGGCATGGACCAGGTTCACAGGCGTGATCCCGCGGAAGCAGACGCTCCTTGGTTATAGTCTCTCCGGGGATCTCGAAAATTAATGGCTCCGTCGCCCGCTACCTGGTTTAACTAGTTACCTACAGGCACTGCTCCCCGAAGTATGGACGTACGCCGAGGGTGCGAGCTATGTGTGGCGCTCGCTATTGGTGGAACTTGACGTTGTCGGCCGGAGAAATTATGTTCCCTCAGATCTACATGCATGTAGATCCCTACAAACCCCTCATCGGGACCTGAAAAAAGGCATCGTCGCATGGATTCTCCGAATGCTCCGAAGGTGGTGTGCTTTCCTCCAACCCACGACTCCTCAGGCCTCAATAGCCGCCTTATCCCGCAGCCCATACTTCGTCTCCAACTCCGTCCTCAGCGGAATTTCCCTGATCGAACAAGCGAGCAAGAACCCACAGCCAGTAAACGCGAGGCTGACCATCCAGGTGAAGCGTACACTTTGGCTAAGGATCCTGATCGCCTCATCCCTCGCACTTGGACTCAGAGTAATAAGGAAAGCTCGAACACCATGCTCATATGCCGAGCCGTCCTTTAACAGAGTTTTCACCTCCATTATGCTCGTTTCCTGGGCGAGGCTGCGCGATCGACTGTTGAATATCGCTGAAGGTATCGCGGCGCCCCATATAAACCCAAAACTCTGCACAAACCCCCACATCGCCGACGAAGCCGCGGTATCCTCTTCGGACAGCGGTGCTTGGATAGCCGGAAGCAAGGCTGTGAGGACGACGCCAGCACCTATCGCCATCAAAATCTGGAAGCCAGCCCAGGAAGCCGTGGAAGAAGACGGACCAAGCATCGAGAAGCAACCCTGGGCAATGAGCATGATCACGAAACCGCTGATCTGGTTTGGCTTGTAGCGTCCAAACTTTGCGATTAAGAATCCCCCAAGGATTCCGGCAGGAACGAGAGTCACGGCCATGGGTATGCTGTTGATTCCGGATTGTTTGGGTGTCGTGAGGAGAACGGCTTGAAAGTAGAGAGGTATACAGATGCTTGACCAGTAGAGGATGAGCCCGTGTAACAACGTGACCAGGAATGCCAGAAGGGAGGTTGAGCTTTTGAAGAGGTGGAGGGGCACTGTTGGTTGAGGACAGAGGCGCTGGTTTGCCTGTAACAAGACGAAGATCGCGAGGCCAACGAAGCCGCACACAAGCGGCACAATGCACCTCCACGACGCCCACGGGTACTTCGCGTCAGCCCAGGTCAAGCATATCAGGATCGAACTAATCGACGCCGTCAGGGTTACAGTTCCGAGGATGTCTATCCGACGAAGCTGGCTCTGGAGCGTTCCTTCTCTTCCATGCTTCAGCCTGAGGAAGGCAAGCACGAGGACCAGCGACACCGCGCCAATGATGAGGACAAGGTAAAAGATCCATCTCCACCCGATCGATTCCGCGAGGCTGCCTCCGGCGACTGGCCCGATAAGTGTCCCGACGGCGAAAGCCCCATACACAATGCTGGTATACTTCTGCCTCTCCCGCAGGGGAATCAGGTCGCAGAGGATCATGCCAGGCAGTATGCTCAGTCCACCACCACCCATACCTTGGACCGCGCGCCCGACTACCAGCATTACCGTCGACTTCGCCAAGCCGCATACGAGACTCCCTACTAGAAACGCGCTGAGCGCAAGCACGAGTGTGACTTTCCGGCCCCAGATATCCGCGATTTGACCGTAGAGGGGTTGCAGCGCGGTCATCGAAAGCGTGTACGCGTTAATAATCCAGATGTATAGTTCTCCGGATTGCAGGTCGGAAACGATGGTTGGAAGCGCAGTGAAGACGACGGAGGCATCGAAGGCCGTCAAGAAGGAGCAAAGACACAGGGCTGGGAACACGGCCCAGAAGTGCCATGGTTTTTGGGCGCGATGGGAGACCTCTTCGCAAGGGGGCGAGCTGACCGCCTTAGGGCTCTTCGCTTCAGACATCGTGGTGCTACTTTGTTGCTACGAGTGGCGAAGGGAGCAGACGACGAAGGCGACCAAATACAGGGCTCGTAATATGATGCAGATGGTGCCTCACCGTGCCGCCCGGTTCGCGCGAGAAGCGCATACATGCAGTCAGGCGGCGCAGACGTCGACACCGTCAGCTTCCCCGCCATTTGGGTTCAATTTCCCTCTGTTAGCTTTCTCACGACTATATACGCGATATCCGTTATCTGCTTCACGCCGCTCCTGTCCAGGATCAAGTTTTGCGACATCTCTCCCCAATCATCCGCGGATGGGGAGCCAGGGGGCATCTTTCCCGCCTCACACATCGGAACGACGTCATTCCCGAATGAAGTCTCGATTTACCATGAGCTGCATTAGTGTCCAGGGCCGGGCCATAGAGTTGCTGACGGTCTGCCGTTTGAAGTCAACTCATTCGAGACCGTAGGAGCGAAAGATGCTATCGAGTTCGCCGACCCAACCGTACGGACGATAAGCACCGCTTGGATACCATCAGTGCGGGCGCAATAGTTATCCCTTGCGATACGATCCAAGCCCTTCCGAACTCTTCGATCCTATCTGCGTGTATATGAGACACGTTAGGATCGGATGACTGTGGATGCTCTGAGCCGAGATCCAACTCGTCCCAGCAAAGGTATCCTCCCGGTTCTACTTAGTATTAGCCTTCAATCTGCATCTACAAAAGGAACGGAACTTACTGAGAAGCGAAGTGAAGTTTTCCAAGAGCCTTGACGGATTCTCGTGCTGTATGTATCGAAAGATGCGGCCGATATGCACAATATCGTACTGGCCCGCAAGGTGTGCCGGAACGGGCTGCATCATGTCCAGATTCGATAGTGTGACATCGTTCAGTTCATTCTTTAGCAGAAAGTCTTACCGCAGGTGTTTGCGCAGACCACCAAGTCACCATCGGCGGAGTGGTTCTCCCATGCCCACCCCTTGAAATCTATTGGCTCGGTATAGTAAACGTACATTACGTCATATTTCCTAATCCGCAGCACCTCCCAGGAGCACGAGTGATGATGAAGAGGCTGCGGTCGTGATTCTTGGCATTTATTGCGCCATTTCTTCGGTTCCGCTTTCGCGTAGATAAGAGCCGATGTGCTGTTTAATGTCCATAACCCCCGAGCGCCATGGCATCAACAATCTATCTCGTCCGCCACGCTGAATCCGAACACAACGTCTCTAAAGATTTTTCTCAACTGGACCCGCCCTTGACCACTCTCGGTTACGCCCAAGCTTCTGAGCTGGTCAGCTTGTTCCCCCATCCAGAGCGCATCGCAGCAATTCTCAGTTCTCCACTTCGACGCGCCATCCAAACCTCCCTCGCGGGTTTTCCTCATGTGCTTGACAAACGATACTTCGACCCATCCTCGGACTTTGGTGTGGAGAATGGCGTTGAGCTCACTTTAGAGCCCGACCTGCAGGAACGAAGCGCGCTGCCTTGCGACACCGGCTCAGAGCGCCATGTATTGGAGAAAGAATTCTTGAACTTGGGTTTGGGGGGATTGCGTGAGGACTGGCAGGCTAAAGCAGGGCAATACGCAGCAGATGACGATTCAGTTACGCTGAGAGCGGCAAGGATGAGGGAGAAGCTTAAGCAACTGGATGTGGCTTTGCGTGGCGACGACGAGAGGAAAGATATTGTTGTCGTCACCCATGGTGTGTTCATGAAATTTTTGTCTGGTGAAGAGGATATCGATTTGCCCAAAGCTAGATGGAAATCTTACACGATCAGTAACGACACAGAAGATAGGGCAATACTTACGCCGGTTAAGGAATGCGAGAATCATAGCCTCTGAGGCACATGTACTCTCTAAAACTCTAAACAGCAAGGTAGGCTTCCTAGCTTGATATGAATAATCCTATTGAGCTCCCAACGTTTTTTGGTTCTGCTAAGTTGTAGACTCCTTGAAAGTAGGCATAGGGGGTGCCACTTCAGCGGCAGAGATCTGAGATGAAGGAATAGACATGCATAAACTGATCTGGTTATACTACGATCAATCAGCACCCGTGGGGTCTCACCTCACACACGCTGTTGCTCATTAGGTCGTCCAAGGTCACCTCTTGCCCCTCCTGCCAGGTATGCGAGACTATTGCGTAAGGCGTGACATTCTCGTCGCTGATCAAGTGCTCGATCAGACCCAGGACGATAAGGTATACCGAGTTGCGTGTATCGAGCCAAAGTGAGCAGTCGTGTAGGGAGTTGGGGCGCAAGGCAAGCCGCATCTTAGGTGTAGAGCGCAGCCCAGATCGCAGGAGCGCAGGCAAGGCTAAAACGACGCAGCTGGACACAAAGGAGCTCCTGAAGTCACGTCCGCCAATCATCGAACAAGCATCTTACGGTAAGCAGTTGGAATTAATGTATCGCGCGAGCTTTCATCCGTCATGCCCGAAAGCAGAAGCTTACCAGTCACCTAGCCCAACGACCAGTTTTTGCTACGCCGCATACTACTCCAGTCACTGGCCTCCCCCCCAGCTACCAAGCAGCGCTTGTACAGTACGCATCACCCGCTGCACATTTAGCCTCAAGCATCCCCAGAACGCGACGAAAGGTGATGCGCTTTCTCTGGTTGCGATCGCGGGTTGCACAGCGGGCAGGGTCGCGGCGGCTATCGCGCGTGCGAATTTGCCCAACCCGCCCGCGTTCATCAAGCAGTTCAAGAAGCCTCGTCGCGGTGGGAATGTTGAGCGGAAGGGACACTAGCCTCATCGGTCCCCAAATAGAGGTATCGGCGTCGACTAAGTGGTTAGGTATAGTCTTTGCACGGTCAAACATCGACCTCCCAGACAAAAAGCCCATAGCGATATCATGTCGCGTTAATTATCTCACCAGCAGCATTCACGGCTACCAGATAAGTTATTAGTACAATGTGTATTGTCTAAAGCCCCGTCTATATCTAACTATAGTACAGTACAACAGGCCAGCAGCAAGGGGTATCGTGGCCTTCGGACAGCTTTCGCTCTCCAACAAAAAAGGGAACCGCCGGGAACCGCCGAAGATCGGGAATAAGAATCTAGAACAAATAAGAAGCTTCAGGTCGGGAGTGGCAGGGCTGACTCATCCAACCCGAAGATCTCGTGACATCGCAACACACCAGCGGCGAGCCATCCCTCAGCCGCGCATCGCTTACTTCTCGGGCCTAACAGCTCACGCAACACTCCACCTAGTCTTCCACATCCTCGTCGCGGCCGGGGTACATGATATCCGCGACCACCACCGCGCGAACATTATGGTACAAGACGAACGCCCACATGAGCACGATGGCGATAGTGAGCCCGTTCGCGACGTACAGAATAGTCTCGTCCTTTAGGCTGCTGCCGATGTTGATGGTTGCGATGATGAAGCCGGTGTTGGGGAAGACCATGGCCCACCAGCCGAGGTGGAAGTATTCTGGTCGTGAATGGAGGACCTGGGGGAGTTAGCGGAGGAGGATTGGAGGGGGTGTGAAGGAGGACTTACGGCAATGAAAGCGATCATGAAGAACCACATTGCTAGTACCCAAAGGAAGACCGCCGACACAAGTGCGAGAGTGCGCAATAAGTTGCCGTCCAAGAGTCCGTCGCGCTGCAGGTCGAAGTCGTCCGGAAGAGCATTCGCCATGCCGATGAAAGCGAGGCATGTAAACGAGGGCGGCCCAACGCCAATGAACATAGCACCTCGATGCTCCCGGTTGGGATAGCCGACTTGCATCAAGCGACCGATGTAATGCGCATACATGAGGATGCTGAGGGTGAAGCCAAGTCCCTGGCACGCAAGACCAGCGACCAGTATTGGCATCCTCGCCCCGATCGGCTGGTCTGTTCCGATGACCGACGCGATGGTGCCCGCGAGCATGACGGGGAAGACGGGAAGAAGCCAGCTCGGCATGAACTTGACCAAAAGGTAGGTATGCCGTGCGAACAAGAACGAGTACTGGAACACAGCGAGGCAGAAGGTGAGGAAGACATAGATCCAGAACGCGACGCCCATGCTCGTAACGATCCAGCCTCGCACAGGGTGCGCAGCCTCGTACATCTCCACGACGTACTTCTGCGTGCCGGTGATGATCGTCGCGACAGAGAGAAAGAACGTGGAAATAAAGAGCGCTTCTCGTTCGTGCATGATCGACTCCTTGAATGACCCTGGGAACTTTATGAATCGCAGCGCCATGGTCGCGCAAAGCACGACGAAGAATATGAGATTGACAACGTAGAACACGGCCCCGATGGACAGAAGCCCGGGGAAACGATGGGGCTGGACAGCAATGAGCGTCGCTATGCCACCGGTGCTCATCGTCAGCGTGTACCAGGCCCACGTGAAGTGTAGAAGTCGCTTGCCCCATGGGAGCTTTGGCTGATTTGGGTCCTTCTTGTGCGGATCGTGCGGTGCAGTGTCGGTTTTGTCGTCTTGTTTCTCCAAGTCGATCGAGTCTCTGGGTGTCTCGTTAGGCGTCGGCTGCGTGGATTGACTGCTGTCTGTGTAAGGCTGCTTGCCCTTCACATCCATTGGATAGCCATTGCTATTAGGTTGCTCCGGGAAGTAGGCTTGCCGGTCATTTAACGGGGCGGAAGCGGCGGGTGTGGTGGTTTGGGAGAATCGATCTGAATGATCATGGTTGCCGTTGTAGGAATTGGCACTGAAAGTACGATGCTCGAACGATGTGTCAGTGAGTTGATAACGAGGGTCCATTGCTGGAATGCGTGAAGCGGTGACCTGCACCGCGAGACGGAGTGACCGACAATGCCAGTAAGATATAAGAGAAAGAACGAAAGAGAAACGGAAAGTATTTCAGCACCGGGCCGTTGAGAAAGGAGAGCAGAAAGCACGAGAGGGGCGGAGTCCTGATAAGCACAAGTCTCGAGATCTGTGGAGCACAGTCTTCCTCATCGGCATACTGTCTCGAACTAGGTATGAACAACCGCCGGCCATATCGGGCAGCGGGCGACTTAGAGCTCCTTCGTAAGGGTAGAGTGGACTCTCGCTCGTCTTGGCGGAGGTGAGATGCTACTCAGTCTTCTCCTTGTACCCACCATGAAGCTTCAGATAAGGGTTTGTGTCAACATAAATGCACGGGCAACTGTGGGACCTCAGGTACTAGTCGGTGTTGACGAAGCCAGACGGAGGTCTCGCCTTGGCATGAGGTCCGTTCCGCGGCCGCCAAGATGTCTTGAGTTTTCCGCCCAAATTTAGATCTGGATAACTTCGGGATAATTCAGGGCGATCTCAGGGATTCCGAGCGCAGGATGGCATGCCAAATGCACAAAGGCATAGCTGGAAATAGGATGCGCGCTGCGACCTCAGGTCGACGCACAACTACAGTCTTGGCATAACCCGTGACGAGAGGCAGGCAGGTCGTTAGTGATAAGGACCGCAGACATGTGAACGCAAGCGGTTGCCAGTCCAGGCAGACTACCAGACAAGCCTGTGTGGAACATGGAGATCCTTTCCTTCAGGCATGCGGCTCTCCCAGCATAGTGGACGAGTGGGTTTGGGCGGGCTACAATCCGAGTTTTCCCGAGGAAGTCTAGGCCACGAGAGGTCCAAAGCGGCATTTGGAACGCAAAAGTCGATGCGGCTGAAAAAGGCCGTTGCCGCCGGGAAAGAAGGTCGAAACCAACGTTGAAACGCCCAAAGCGGATCAATTGTGTCGACCTTCATGCCAAGCATCCCACGTCAAACACGGGAATAAACGCGCCCCCACCGCTTCCAGACCCCTTTGCGGCAAGAGGAGGCTTGGTATCCGAAGCGTTGGCGCTGAGATGACCGTCTGCAGAAAGATCGCCGTTTAGAGCTCTTTCAGCATGGTCTTGGTATGTCGGAAGAGTGGGCCAACAGGGACTTCTGTCGCACGCTTCGAGAAGGACTCGCCCAGGGCCCACTTTAGGTCCGAAGGTGCGTTGATATAGTCTGGGTCCGAGGCCAAAGTGACTGTGATCTCGACGTCGAGTATCGTGCATATGGAGACGCTTCCAGTTAGTCGGAAACCGGAATTGTCATCGCCTGCTGGTCGAAGCAGAGACAGCGCGAAGCACGACTCCAAAATGGACGCCGCAGAGACCGTCGCAGAGGCCCAATTTGTGCGAAAAACATCCGTCCATCTCAATTCCCAACAAGTCTGATCGGAGGGTCCAGGGCCCTTTGAGGCTCCAGGCGTCATCGCCGCCCGACCGCTAACAGTAATCCAAAGGCGAGGTGTGCGTGGAGCCTCATCCACGCCCAACCTGTTGCTGATGCGTGAGTCATTGAGATGGCGATTAGCAGGTGAAAATTCTGATGCAGAAAGGATGAAGGAATGATCAAAGTGCGGTCGAGGTGAGGTGGTGTGCGAGGCGCGGAAGAAGACGGGAAGCGAAAAGAGGCGCTCGGGCCACGTGGAGTGGCTTGACATCTCGAGAGCATCAGGGGTGACGCCGATGCCACAACACTGCCTCATCAGACGCCTCTCTCGCCATGAGTTTTGTACATATGGGTTTTCACGTGCATTTCGCCACCGGCGCATGCCGCATCTCGGGCGCGGAGGAGATAGGGCCGGAGCCGCGCCACTCCCGGACAGATCTTCGCTCTTAGTAGCGATCACAGTATTACTGCGGCGCAGATATACACTCCTGTCCTTCATATTAACACTTTGCAACCCCGTAACTCTGTCATTTTAAACCATAGTATTGCTCACTACACTTCCCTCACACATCTACGCCCTCGCACATCGGACCTCCTCTCGAGCCCCCTCCCGCCCCCTCCAGCCTCTCAAGCAGCAGCAGGCACGACCACAGACGTAGGCATAGCAATCGGACCCGCCTCCGGCACCGGCGGATACTCATAATCCTCCACCACCCAAATATCCTTAGTCCCCTCCCAGCTTTTAAATACGGCGGAATCCCCGCCCTTCTTCAGCTGCAGCCAGATACCCTTGAAGACATTGTAGTCGTATGTTCTGCGCGTCTCGTACGCGATATCGTGGTATGCCGTCCACTTGTAGAAGTCGTCGTGCGTCTGCGTTGAATCCAGTTAGCTGGGACAGAAACAAAGAAAGAGAGGTGAGGAGGAGCGCACATAGCCGTCCTTGAACTCGATGATGTATTCATCGGCGCTGCTGCTCTGGCGCTCTGAGAGACTTCGCGAGCCGATGGGTCGCGGTTCGACTGGGCGGGAGCCGATCGGGCGTGGGTCTACCGGGCGAGGTTCCACTGGGCGGCTACCGATTGGTCGTGGTTCGAGTGGATTCGAACCGGTGATATCGCCGGCAGTAGGTTCAGCGACGGGAAGGCCGAGCGCAAAAGTGAGGAAGAGCAGAAATGCTGCGAAGATCTTCATGGTTACTGAATCAAGCTAGAATATGATCGAGGCGAGTATCTCTCCCGCCCCAGAACCAAGCATCTCCAACGCCATTTTATCTCTGCCCTAATTCCGCCTCGAGACCACCGATCGGTCTGAGAACCGCACCCCTTTCTCGCTATATGACTTCCAGATATAGAACGATCCTTCGGCCAGGTTGTCGGATTCAGCGGACGAATCGCTTCATCCCGAACACGAGGAACAAATCAATACGTACACCCCCGCATTTTCGAGAACATTGCCATACTAGAATAGGATTGCATTTGATATATGGTAGAGTAGGCCCGGAGTACGTATCTAGGATATCGGAATGGACTGGCCCTCACTGGCAGGAGATGTCGACGAGGCTATCGAACCGGTTACTTCGGCCTGATGCATAGGCGCCTAATTTCTCGTCCTCGCTTTCCTCACTCAATGCGCCTGTATCCGCTCTCTCGCTCGAGCGACCCAGTTTGCGAAGCAGGTCATCCACATTCCAGGCGATCCTCTCCGCACCCACCCTCGCACCCACTAGGTTCGGCGCCCCTGGTCCCAATCTTAGCCCCGCCAGCCTCCCGGTAACGAACAGCGGCACTTCGTCGCACCACATGAGGTCGTCGTTCAAGCAGGGCAGGCCGCCGATGCAGGGAATCGGGTACTGTTTTTGCAGTGTTTGGAGAAAGGGGATGGAATCGATGTTCGATTGGACACCTGTTGCGAAGACGATGTAGTGGATGGGTGGGAGTGGAATTGGAGGGGAAGTGGTAATGGAAGTCCAAGTCCGCGCCGTGGCGTCCCAGCTTACTGATGCCAGCGTGGTGTGCGTGTGCAGTGAGATCTTTCCACTAGCAACATGGGCATCTAGGATCTTCCGGTATCGCGGCGTCATGCTGCCTCCATTCCGGGCTTGAAGAAGCATCTCAAAACGCTCTATCATATGTTAGCAACACGATATCATCAGCCGCAAACTTTCGACTCACCTTCATCTGTATCCGCTGACCAAAACGTGGCTTGGTTGTAGTTCCGAAACTTGCCCACCCACTCCAGATCGACGTCGAAGTACTTCACTTTTACTCCCCCGCGCATTAGCAACCATACCTTGCTTACTCCGCGTTTGAGCGCCAAGTCTGCGAGTTGGATGCTGGTCAGACCACCGCCGATAATGAGCATATGTGTGGGAACCTTCCTATTGATCCTCTCTAAGACGTGGGGTGGTGGAAACTGCTTGATCTGCATGGCGTGGCAGTAGCCTTCGTGTGCGGATGCGGTGGATAGCCCAAGGCATTCGGGTATGGAAGGTGCATTTCCCGGACCGACGGCCAATACAACGATGTGTGCGTAGCGAATTCCCTCGTCAGTGATGACACGAAAAATCTTCCCGTCCTCGTCCTTAGCACCGCCGGAAATACCTCCCTCAGCGTCCTCGAACACACTGGCATACTGGTGCTCAATATCCACAGCCTTCTCTTGCCTAACCATCTCCCTTCTCAGCCCATACCTCCTGGTGACTTCTTCGCAATGGTCCCCAAACACCTCCCGACTCGGCGTAAAATAATCTTTCCTGTCCCGCTCATCGATGTCTGGAGTCGCCTGCATGAATCTACCCCGTGCGTTTATTCGCTTCTTCTTCTTCTTGTGCTTGCTAACTTCTTTCCCGGCGCAGCCAGGAAGAGCTTCCAGCTCGCTCTCCCGCTGATGCTCGTAGGCGTATCCTAGAAGGGCGTCGCGGTCTACCGGGTCAACGTGGAAGAACATGGGGCTGCGGAGGTGCGAGATGGAGAAGGTGCGGAAGAGCCGGTTCCACTTCGTGAGCCAGTCTGCGCCGTCAGCGTCGAGGACGAGCATGTCGATGCCGCCGTCTTTCTGGTGGGACGGGGATGCGGGGCCAGAGTCTGAGCTACATGGAGTTGAGGTAGGGGAGTGAAGAGAATCTTTCTTCGTCCGGTGGTCCTTGATATTCATCTTGCGGCCATGCTTGCGGATCCAGTGGTACCGTTGGTGCTCGTCGTCTGTGAAGGTCGCAGAGGGAGTGTGCTCGCGCAATCGAGCGGCAATTGCGAGACCGCATGGTCCAGCGCCGATGATGAGGGCGTCATGAATATGCATGGTATCTGTGTGGAGTCTTCCAGTTCCAGCGTTGCTGGACTACTTGCGACTCGGAGAGTTGCTGAGAATGACCGCGAACGGTACATATACATATGAAAGTAGCGGATAGGTCGGAGTGGTAATAGATACCTTTCCTGCGTTGTTGAAGGCTGTAGATGGAGCACCGTGATGGTGTCCCATGGTGGATCTCGCTTCCTGCCATCATGGTGCTAAGACGCGGTATCACATGGGCTCGCGTGCCGAATGCATCCAAGAATGAAAACTACGGTTTCTTACTAACGCGTGGATTCAGTCTCCTGAAGGCGTCTGGGTTCATCCGCATATCCGTATATCAAACCAGGCACTTCACCTTCTCTCCCTCGAACTCGAACGGAATTACGACTTGGGGCGAAAAGAGAGACGGAAAAATACCACGACGGGGACCCTCATCTCAATTCGTAGGCCAGTAGAACTTACCTCCATCCTGGGGTAACAGATCATACGTCGTGCGGGTGGGGCCTTGAACAGCACCGTGCGTAGATATTCCGGGATTGGTACATCGCATCCAGGACGGACACCGTCAGAGATTAACCGGCTGACAGCACATATCGGCCGAGTAGTAGCGAGTATCGATGTCTGCGAGTTCAGGAGTGATGATGTCCTGTCGGCCAGAATGCATGGTATAGAGAATGCGTCCATGATGGAATATGTTGACGGAGAAGAAGGCGGACCACTTATTCGCCGCAGCTCTTCAATGTTGGGTGCATGTGCCTCAAGCTGGGCAGGAAGGGAGTGCCCAAGGTGTGTCGGAGAAGAAAAGGTAGTAATTGCTCTATCGAATGCTCGATGTCATTTTCTTTCCGTGCTGGCAGCGCAACGTACGGCAGGATAATTGGAGATCATGCCGCATGCGGGACGAGCGTAAGCATACGCCCCGCCATTCGTGCAATTGATGGAGTAGATGGCGCGCCGTCATGGGCAGAGTAACCTGCTGTGCGCTGATGGGTGGTCCAATATCCCCGACGAAGGGAAGTCGGCGTGGGACCGATGACAGGGACAAGGGGCACTGAGGAGCAAGAACTGAAGCGCAATGCGGATCGTATCCAGCAATGCCTTCCAAGAGATTGGCATGCATACCTGATAATGTCGCGGGAGGTCGGAGCGGAGAGAGAGAATTTCGCGTAACGCCAAGGGACGCTAAGCCTCATCTAGACCCCGCACTTTCCCCAGCCACCACACCTCGACCAACTCCACCATCCATCAAAGACCGCTCCTCTCCCTAAACTGCACCATCGGCCCATTGCGCAAAGAGATATACGCGTCATCCAGCTGGTACGTATTCGGATCCCTCCTCCCCCAACCCAGCTCCGGCCTTCCCGCACCAATCTCCTCGCCAGGCGCCAGCCTCACGTCCATCCGCCACAGCGTCCGCGCCACGGTCATTGACAACTGCTGCATCGCAAGCTTCTGGCCTAGACAGCTGCCCACACCCTTGCCGAATGGGTGGTAGCTGCGTTTCAGGAAGCTGACCTGTTCTGGGGTATTCAGAGTGTCTTCGTGATCCGACACAATCCATCTCTCTGGCCGGAAGACATTCGGGTCGGGACACACCCTTTCGTTCCTGAACAATGACCAGTGCGGTATACCGAGGACGACGCCTTGGGGAAAGAACTCGCCGTTAATCGTAGTTCCGCCCGGCAGCACCTGTCGCTCAAATTCGCTTGGTCCGGGGGGCCCTACACGCAACGCCTCGTCAATGCATGCGCGTAGGTAGTGGCAGCTCGCCAGTAACGGGCCGTGGACAATGTCCTCTGGGCTACTGAAAGTCTGCCGAATCTCTTTGACCAGTTTCGCATACACACGCGGATAATGCGTGAGGTAGAAGAACAGGCCGGCCATCGTCGTCGACGTGGTGTCGGATCCAGCCACGATTAGCAGCGTTGCTTCCGATTTCAGCTCTGCTTCGCCGAAAGCAAGCTCGCCGGTGTCGGGATCTCGGGCTGTGCAAAGGAAATGGAACATGTCTTCTCTCTCTACAGGAGCCTTCACAGCTTCGCGATCTCGTTCAGCCTTGAGGCGCTGCATCGCAGAACTATCAGCGAAAGTAAAATAGTCCTTCATGTTCTGGGGCGTCGCGAGTTCAATGAGTTTGTCCAAGCCGCGAGGTTTGAGCCAAAGCACGAACTCCAGTGCAGGCGATTTGGTGATCTGACGCCCGTTAGCAAGCATACATGGTCGGCGGCGCATCTCCATCACGTACTGGGAACAGAATTCTCATGGAGTCCGCAATGTCGTGCGGGATCGACTTCAACTTGTTCTCTCCAGGCTCCTTCGTTTCAAAGCTCTTGCCAAAGCACAAATCTCCGAGGACGTCGAACACCAAGTAATCCGCCCAAGTCGACATATTTCTCGGCTCGCCCCATCCATCGTCGCCCGGCGTCTCCCCAGGCAGAACCTCGTTCCATCGATCAATATGTCGCGCCATGAACGGCTGCGCTGCCTTTACCGACTGATCCGTAAAGGCTAGCGCCAACAGCTTCCGCTTTTTCGCATGTCCTGCAACGTCTATGGTAGACAAGGTGTTGAAGTCGTGTTTGTTACGAGCCCACGCGGCATACGACCCTGATTTCATGACATTGGCTTTGTAGCTGAAGAGCGAGTTGTAAGCTTCTGGAGTGTCGAAGAGAAGCATATTTGGCGCCGCCCGGAACTTGCTCCCTGCGCTAGCTCAGTCTCGCTGCGGCTTCACTACCAGACTGGAAAATACGACCTACCATAAATCTGGAACTGCTGCCAGGACCATATGTGGCGATCGCCTTTGCACGCATGGTAGAAAGACGGCAGGCGTGAGATGCGACATAGAAAAGGCCCCGGATACTTTGCCAATGGGTGGAAGAAGAGATCATATATCGTTGTTCCAACGACCTTGTCAGCTGGTGAGTTACTGATTCTTCTTGCACGTCGATTCATTTACTCACGTAGCCGACAGTCAGGACGATAGTGAGCGGAACGAAGAGTCCCATCTTGAGGAAGAGCGCCTTAGAGATGAATATTCGAGTGCTCGAGAGGATGATGGAACGTATATAATGTCCATTTATTTTCTCGCGCGAAACGCATCGCCGTCGGCGCGGCTGATAGGCATAATACTGTGCCGCCACGAAGTAAGCAGCGCCCAGCCTTCATCCTAAGAAAGGCTTCGCTCAGTCAGCGAGTTAAGGGTCCCTGGAACAAGCAAACCAACAGTCTCAGAAACCAGCGAATAATAAGGTAGCATGCTCTACTTTCTCAACGGCCGGAATCCTGCGGCTAATCTGGTCCCCTGAAGTTGGCGCACCAAGAGCAAATCAGTGACGCGGTGCCGGCGAATCTCCTCGAACAGTCAGAATGAGTGGCCAGGGTACGTTGGGCTCGAAGTGATCGCTCTGACTCGATTCGATTCGCTCCAAGCATGTTCAGAAGCTCTCATCTACGGGGTATCTTGTCGTTCCCTATTGGCCGTTAAACATATTCATTGACACCGTCACACCGACTTCCTCTTTGCTTCAGACCACCTCGTCCTTTCGCAACGTCTCACTACTGATCGTCGTCGTTATCGTCTGCCGGATGACCCTCCCATCCTCATTTAAAATATACTCCTCACTCTCATTATCGTTCTTGCCTCCCTCTATCTCAGCGTAGCTCTTCGACCCCAATCCACCTCTCTTGCCACCACCTATCGTGGACAATGCAAAGGACCCGCCCTTTGAATGTCTGCCAGCGGAGTTTGAATTAGAAGTTCCCTTGGAGGTAAAGGTAAATCGTGGGAAGATCCAGGTCACGAGCGGGCGAATGCAGGGTACGGATGCTGTGGTGATTGCAGAGCCGAGCTCCGCAATAGACCATGTTGCGACGTCAACTACGCCCCATGTGGGGTCGTTGGATTGGTTAAGGTCGTGGAGGAAGGGTAGGCGAACGATGCTAGTTATAAGTGTGCTGTGCCACTGTCAGCATGCTCTGACGTGCGTCAGATCAGAGCGCGGAAAAGACCTACAAGCAACCAACCGAACAAATCGCGAGCAGCGCATATTTCTTTCGCCTCGGCACTTGCAGACCTACCATCGCCGTTAGCATCACCGTCGTGGACAGTCGCTGCTCTTCGACCTACTCGAAAATATAAACCACGGCAGGCTCAGGATCACCAAGTCAGTGCAAATATTAATCGAAGCGTCCACGTAGTAAAACGCCGGTTGGTTGATACACGTTCCTGGCGGATTCATCGCCTTATCCCAGTAGTAGCTCGTCGGCCGACATTGCAAGAAGAGAGTGATGGTGAACGCCATCTCCTGGCACACCACGAATGCCGCGATGGTCCATATGCGCTTTCGCCAGCGGGACGTCGAAGGAACAACGCGAGCGAGGAAGAGGAGGATGGAGAGCTTGGTGAAGCCTTGGGAGGCGGGATAGAGGACTTGCGATGAGAAGCCGCACTGCCGTCCAATGTCAGCATCCGATCTCATCCTCCACTCACCGATGCGCCTCGGAATTTCGTCATCGGCTCGGCTTCAACAACATTGCGCTTCCTACGGGGGAGCCGCATACCTTCTGCATACTAATTCCCGTCCGCGGATAATCCACATCCCAGATATGGATCCCCAGCCCGTACTTGGTCGCAAATACGGTCGCGATATTCAAACCCACGTATAGCACGTATGCGATTATGATCGATATGTCGTCCGCGCCGACGTGCGAGAACTTGACACGCGACACTATGCGAAGGACCAGCGCAATGGTCGCAAGTGGCAGGAAAGCCCCCATGAAACCCCATATCTGCGGGAAGCGGTTGGGTGGCGTCTGTCCGGCCTGGTTGGCGAAGTTGTTAGCATGTTCTCGCAGAATAGGAGGACGAAAATCCGGGGGACAGGCAAGGGGGTCGTAGGGCACGAAATTGCAAATATCGATCGAGGATGCGATCGCGGGATATTCGAAAAGGACATACTGGTGTCGGCGTTGGCGTTGCATCCTGCCTCCCGAGTATCAAGCCCGCGATATCCATTTCCTCGATCTCCACATCAACGACTACGAAGTGTCGTACGAAATCGAGAGCTGAGACCAACTCGACCGAATATTTGGAAGAGATCACAGATCCCTTTCTATAACATTGGTCCTTTAGGGGGATCTGTTCAGCGGGGCCTGCACGACATTTCAACCGCCTGAACCCGCAAATCACTCAAACCTTAACGTGCTGCTCCCTTCCGCAACCCGTGAAGGGTGTTCTGCACGCACGCAAACTTTATTGATCCGGCCCTGCAGACACGCCCCGCAACCCGATTGGGTGTTCCGTTAGCTTACGCGTCCGGCTAGGGCAATGATCGGAAAATCCCCTTGCACGTGACTAGTGGCGTCGTGAGAATTACCCCTTCTAGGGTTCCGCTAACTACTACAAGCATCTTCCCGTACCTCCTCCCCGCGCCCCGTCGCCTGTCAAACCTTGGGTGACCCGAAACTCGGTTGAACTAGCAAACTTAATTCAAGAATTGCGCCACCAGTGCCGGATCCTCTTCCACAAACAAAGCGGAGCTGAGCACCCGCCGTTCTTCCTCCTATAATCGCGCCTTGATCATGTCTGCAGCCTGCACGTTCGTCAGCGAAATCCTGTTCCTGAATGAACGACTGCGTCTCTGAAGTTCGGAGCGCCTGGGCTTGGTTCGGCTAAACGCCACACCCTCAGGTACAGGCCAAAGTTTGGTTAATACCCCGCCGGCTGATATGGACTTGGCGCCTGGGGAAAGAACGGGGATCAGAGGGGCAGCGTACCTTTTCAGCAACCGCATAAACAGTCTCGCAAAGGTGTGTGCCTGGGATGAGCGGCATGATGGAGGCATCCACGACGCTCAACTTCTGCACACCATATACAAGCAGATCCGTACCTACTACCCCACCTTTCTGACGAGGCATCATTGATGCCGTGCAGCAAGGATGGAAGAAGGACGACTGCACGAGCGTGGAACGGAACATGGCCGTGATTGCCTCGTCAGTCGAGACGTCCGAACCAGGAAGCAGCTCGACGGGACCTAACTGCGTCATGGTCGGCGTGCTGAAGTACTCCCGCACATATCTGAGGATCTTGATCATGACGTCCAGATCCACGGGGTTTGACAGCGTGCGGAAGTCTACCGCAGGCTCGGCGAACGCATTCGTGCTGGCGATGTTGACGGTGCCTCGAGAGAGGGGCTTCAGGAATGCAAACACAGGTCCCGTCGAAGCGGAGAAAGGGAACTCCATGACAGCGCTGTCCGTATTCTGGTACCTGTCTACCAGAATCTCCTTCTGCGCTGCATAGCCGAGCAGCACGGAAGAAGGCGTCGACGGATCGACGTACGTTGAGACGTCCTGCGTGGATAAAGTTGACGTGATGGTTTGATAGTCGGCTGTCAGATTGCGGAGCGGGACGAAAGCGGCCGTGTTGCCCACGCCAACGGAGTACGGGCCTGAAGATCATGAGCGTTAGTCACATGGTGAAAAAGGTGGAGAGGCGGTCGAACCCACCTGTGCGATTGGCCAAATACTCGGCGTATGCAGTAACAGCGTACGTTTCGTTCTCGGATAGCAATTCGGGGTACGGGTAAACGTTGCTCGTGACTACGGTAGAAGTCAGTCTTGACGCTAACCCTCACCGCTTCGTAGGTGTCGCTCACAGTTGTATTGCATGAAGAAAAACGGATGGTCCTGGAAGTTCTGCCCCACGCCTTCCAAGTCCACCACGCTGGCTATCCCCAAAGCTGAGAGCACAGAAGCAGGTCCAACGCCGCTGAGCTGCAGTAGCTGCGGCGTGTGGATAGCACCCGCGGCGAGAATGACTTCCTTCCTTGCCTTGACGGTCTTCGTAAATGTAGTACCGTTGCGCGACTGAATCGTCACCCCTGACGCAGTGAGGTTGGCAAAGTTTATTTTGACCGCCTTGTGCAGCGTCAGGAGATGGTAATTGGGCCGCGATTTGACACGCTCGTAGTAGCCTAGGCGAGCATCTGAGCGCGTTTGCATTATGGGGTCTTGTGAGGAAGGGACCCAGAAACGTCCTACCGCGTCCCCGTCTGCTCCTTCTTTTGAGACTGTCAGGTTCATGTCGGCGAACGCATCCCATTCGATTTCTGCTAACGTCAGCTTCTGGAGCAACAGGCGTTCATTGTCCGTGGTACGTACTAACGCCAGGCCACTGGAAAGGTGGATAGCTCAGCTTGATGGGCCCATGGCCCTCGTATGCTGACAGATTGTAAGTCACATCGAACTCCTCCTGCATGTGCTCCGACGGCGGAGTGAAATTGACAGCCTGTAGCACCGATCAGCCTCTACTCCCAACAACCACCTCATATTCCGCACCTTCTTAAAATACGGCAGCAGATCGCTCCATCCCCACCCATCATTCCCTAGCGCCGCCCACGCATCGTAGTCCGCCGCCGCGCCGCGATCAAAGAACATCGCGTTAATCGCCGAGCCGCCTCCAACAATGTTCGATGCGGGAACGCTCGCGGTGCGGTCGCTCAGGTTCGCCTGCGGCACCGAGGTGATGTTGTACATGTACTGCGACGGAAACGGGTTGCCTTTAGACGGCATGATGAGGCTGGTGTCATTGTCCACGATCTCGCCGTATTCGACTACGAGAACAGTTTCTGGACCGCCGTTAATTGTTGAACGGTGATATGGAGGTAGAGGGTGGAAATTTACTCGTGGAATCTTCAGTCAGCCTATCGGCCACTGTAAGCCCGCTGGTTCCTCCACCCACGATCACATAGTCGTAGGAGCCGGCGACTTGCGACAACGTAGTAAGCGGCGTCGCCCTTCTCCAAAGCTGACCAGGAAGCGCATCGCAGACAGCGAAAGTCCCAAGCCACGCGGCCGCAATCCTCATCGCCATTTCTTCCGAACAACCAAGCGCCAACGAGCGATGAAAGCGAAACGACCGTCGCCACGCGCTGATATATTCCCCAGCGCATGCACAAAACCGTGCCACTCAGCCGCCGCGGTGATGCTATTCTCTCCCGATTTGCATTCCGCCCTCCCAAGTGCCCGAATTCTAGATCCTGAAACGCATACGTATGTCGACCCAGGAGTGTGGGCGGGAATATTAGAGGACCGGAGCGAGGTGCTTTATCTGGGGTTGAGCCGCCCGGAGTGGGCTAAATTAAGACGGGATCGTGATCCCCGAGTGTCGGATCCCTGCGCCGCTTGCGCGGGCGAACGCTGACTGGCAAGTTGAGGAACGCCCCGGCTGGGGCTTGCACGGATGCAGGAATTTTGACGAGAGCGGAGTGTTGTGGGAAGGGACGGGTCGGTTCGCGAGGCTGGTTCCAGAATCCGGAGTGGTGGAATTTCGCGGTGGCGGAAGTCGGTCTTGGGATATGGCGGTTCGCGTGAAGCCTAGGCGAAACTGTTGATTCATTCGACGCACATTTCCTCTATGAGGAGCAACGTAACGGCGCGAAAGAAACGAGATGCGACGTTGCTCTTGGGCGCCCATCGATCGCAACACACGCCAAGCTTAGTACTCGTACGTTCACTATCAAAGGCAGCAAAAGGACTTACTCGCCGCGCCCCTGTCTATGAAGAACTAGCGACCGAAGAATTGCCCAGGCGATCTTGGTGCCCGGATACCCGCCCTATTTCGTCTATTCATCCCATCGTATCCTTCCGTTCACACCACCATCAGACCCCCTGAAGCTCGACCACGGCTCGTCCGAAAGAGTGAAGCGCTACTTCTACCGACCATTAGCAGCCGGATTGTCGAATTCCCGCACCATCACTCTGCCCTCACTCTTGTTTCCTCCACGGAAGCGCCCTATTTAGTGTGCGCCTCTGTCAAGAACGCCGGTAGCTCAGGAACCGAAGGGACACCGCTCAGACTCCTGTGGAGGCTGTACCTCGGCGATGCTCCTTCGCTTGGCGTATACGCCACTCGCTCGCCTCCTTTCTCTCCATCACTTCCATGCTTGAATGCCTTGGAAGCGTCACTCCTGATCAAAGACTTGAGAGATACGATGAGCGCGTCGGGTGACACTGCTTCGAAGAGGGGCTTCAGAGTGGGTAGTCATGCGCAGACAACTGCAACGCAAGATTCGAGCAGCGAGTAATATAGCGCCGCTACTTCATCGTCTGGGAAGAGAGTAAGCTCACGCCCAAGATGCCTTCTCGCGATGGACGATGGGAACACTGACAGCTTAAATAGTGCCCGTTCTTCAAAATATCGACAACGTTGAAGAATTCGTGCGCCTTTGCAATTGCCACGCCTATGACGCTGAAGAAGCTGTTAGGATCAACCAAGACGAGGCATGATTGGCGCACCTACAAGGTTCCGAGCCCGAAGATGCTTAGTACGGCCGCTTTCTCGCGCTTGGACATCATCATCCCCAGCACCTGCGGCCACGGGATGATGAGCATCAACACGTCGATGACAATCGAAGCAATAGCGTAGACCTCGTATATGTGGGTCGGAACGCAATGTTGGACCGTGGGTCCCTGAGCATATTCCCAGAAACTGTGGATCGGGTTGCAGGGGAAGATGAAGACCACGGTGTACGCGATGCCCCATGCTCCGTTGAGGAAGTATAGTGCCCACACCCAGGCTTCGAAAAGTCGGCCTATGAAAATTCGATGGTAGAAGAGGAGGATGGAAAAACGTGCAATCGCGATAGCTACTGTGGTTAAGATCTCCATGGCGTAGACACACTGGGGAGGTTAGCAACACTGTGAGTGTGCCCTGAGCGGGACCTCTTATTTACCTTTTTGAAGATCCGGTATTTCCCTGTCAAAATCGGTGCGCCATGCGAATCGAGTGGCATCTGTTTCCCAACGTTTCCGTGTGTTGCTCCTACGGCGGCCATGTAAGCTTGCTACTTTACTCCATGCTCCCATGGGCATGCTCACCAACGAGCAAGGTGATGCCATTCGCAATGCATACCATCTGGCTGGTGTAAGCCCGCCGACGTTCACTGATCAGTGTTCCAGAATTGCTCATACCAGCGCAGCCACAGCTACCCAATCGTCAAGTTTGAGCGGCATCTTCTTCTTGCGCCTGGCTATAAACCTCGCCAGCACCGCAGCGAGAGCTAAGGAGGGAAATATCGTAGCCAGGGTAACTGGAATTGTTGCTGGTGCCATTTTGAATGCGGCTCTGGCGTAACGAAGAACAATCGACAGGAACGCTGGATCTCTCAGAGACAAAAATACGTTACGAGGCGAAGGATAATGCTACCAAGGGGGTATAAGTCCTGTTGGGTCGTGAGTTCGAGGCGATATGCAAGGCATGGTGGTCCCGCAACCGCTGCAAGCCCTGGTCAATTGAGAAGGTGCTACAAAGCTTCGCCGCATACAAGCTTGCGATTAATTAACCTGTTATTGGGCGCAACGGCCTCTCTTGCATGCGTCGGCGTCCTTCAATCGGCTATACCACACCTGCGGGTCTCACCGCATTGCGGAAAGCTAAGACATCGCCTCAACACATCCACTTTTACCTTTTCCTTCAAGAATACTGGGTCCCTGATCACGGACCGAAGAAGCGCTTCAGAGGTGATGGGAATGGCTGGATAGAGTGACAAGCTCCTCTCAGACCGCAGCAAAGTATACTAGGAAACGTTGTGGCCCCAGAGATGAGCTGAACGGACCTGCCCCGGAGTTCGTAATAATCGCTGCGCAATTGGGGGCTGTATCCGACAACTTTGGAATGACCGATTTGCCTGAGGAACTTCTCTTATCGCCGAAATCGACCAATATATCCATTGTTTTGCCATTGGACCGGACTGCGAGGTGTAAATCCACGCACTTCTGAGTATAGCGACCAGGCTGATGTGCCGTGAGTCGAGGCGGTTCCACGGTCAGCCAATCGAACATCGTCACCGCTAGCGGAGCAGAGCACATGCTGTTTATTCGGAACAGTTCCAGGCAGTGTTCTTGCACAGATCGGCATCGTCTACGAGTTGTGCGGTGCTTCTGCCAATCTGAGGCTGAATGTGTGCGACTCGTCTGATGTGATGCGGATATGCGTACCTGCTTACTTTGCTAGTATTCATTCAAGTAGTAGAGTAAGGAGGTAGGACAAGGAAAGGTTTCGTTCTCACTCTGCATAGGATAATTCCAAGCTTCATCAAGCTCCGGGCGTGGTTGCCGACGTAACGGTTCCCGTTAAGATTCCCTAGATCAAGGTTCTAATCTTCATATACTAGTGCTATGTGCGCCGGCGCTGCCATGGATTAGTAAGACTCTAGGTCTCATCATGAAGAGTAGTCTCACAGTAATCACCTTTGCCAACTTTCAGAATTACTTTACTTGCGAGCAAAGATATTGCTACTAGAACGTAAACCATCATGAGAAAATAATGCATCCGCCTTAGAGATCCCCGCTAAACAGGCTTCAGAAATCTTTTGTCGTCACATAGAAACAGAGTAGTGTAGTTGTTCATTGTTGAAGCTGTAGTAGAGGTAGCTGTTCACAAGAGCGTAGAGTAAAGGCTCGAAGGTTTCTGTAGTTGAAAGAGGTGTCTCAACGCGCCCATAGAGAGATAAGGCAATATGACTGTTGGGTTAATGGCGAGATTAATTCGCTGGTAATTATGCCCCCAAAGCCGCCTATCGATACTGCAAGCTGGGTTGCAGGGTTCATGTGGAGACCCCACAGCTTGGTAAAGACCATATCCGTGTAGGGGACGGCTGCTCGCGATTGACATCTCCATTGAGTAGATACCAGGTTAATCTGCTTTCGGAGTCTGACCGCATATCGGCACCGAAGATACGGAGCCTGCATGATAATGTCCCAACAAAGCGGTAATGCAACAACGCGGCGAAGCCGCGAGCTAGCTCCAAATTGATTGTTGCTTCGCGCCTCCTGCGCCGCGCAAAGGCTTCTTCCAACCTCATTGTTCGTTCACCTGATCCCGCTCTGAACTGCATCACTAATAGCCCAACTCCTAATAGTCTTTGGAGGACAGATTTGCTCTATGTTAATGATGGCTGCATTTCTTTGGTACTTCGGTATCCCGATTGCATTCCTTGTTAGAGTACTATATCTTTCGCTAAGCCGGAACCTTGCCACCTCCAGAGCGGCGGGGCGCTACGGTTGTAAGGACCCACCCAATCTTCCATCTAGAGACCCTCTTTTCAACTTCGACATCGTCCGACACAGCTTGCGCATGGCCGCGAAGGACCGTCGTATACGCTCAATCTACGAGCAACTGCACTCCTACGACTTTACTTTTCAGTCATGGCCCTTTGGAAAGCGCGTCATATCCACCACTGACCCCAAAAACATTCAATTCGTCTTCGCCACGGAAGCCGCCAAATTCGGCATCGGCCCTCAGCGAGAGCACGCTCAAGGTCCCCTCACAGGCCTCGGAATCGTCACCTCGGATGATCCAATTTGGTCTCGCATGAGACCTCTGATCCGGCCCACGTTTACTCGGACTCAGATCGCCGACAGAGAGAGCTTCGATGTCCACGTGAGCAGATTCATGGAACTCCTGCCTTCTGACGGATCCGAAGTCAATCTGCGACCCTTGTTTGAGCGGTTGGTATGTGCATTTCCAAGACGCGCTGCTGCGTACCTCTTAGGTCACGTATCTAACTGCGTCTTTGCAGATTCTAGATTCTTCCTCAGAGTTCATCTTCGGAGAGTCTTTTGGCTCGCTTCTGCTGGACTGCAAGGTTGATTCCAAGAAGTTCATCGAAAGCTTCAACAATGGCCAGAAAGGAGTCGGGAAAAGGGTTTTGTTCGGCAAAATGAGCTTCTTGATCCGCGACGCGAAGTTCTGGGAATCTTGCAGCCTGGTCCAAGAGTACACGCGCCGGCTTGTGGAAAATGCTCTTGCCCGACGCCGAAAAGCTCAGGAACCTGGAGAGAACGAGGATGACCTCCCCAACAGGAAATACGTGCTGGTTTATGAGCTTGCGAAGGAGACAGACGATCGGGATGTACTTCGTAGCCAGCTGCTCAACATCTTCTTTGCCGGTCGAGACACGCCGGCCACAGCACTTACGAATATGTTCTTTGCGCTGGCTCGACACTCGAGAGTGTGGTCTAAGATCAGAGAAGAAGTGAAAGATCTAAGGCCAGAAGACTTGACTTTCGAGAAGCTCAAAAGCCTTCGCTACGTCCAGCATGTCATTAACGAAGGTATGCGAGCTTTCCCACGTAAATCCCCCAACACTAACTTTCCAGCTCTCCGACTTCATCCGCCGGTTGCCAACAACTCGAGGGTCTGCTTGCAGACCACCATGCTCCCCACAGGAGGCGGTCCGGACAGAAAATCTCCCATCCTGGTCTTCCCCGGGGATACTATCTCCATGAGCTTCTACACCCTGCACAGACGCGCGGACATTTTCTTAGATCCGGAAGAATTCCGCCCTGAGCGCTGGCAGACCCTGCGTACTACCTGGGAGTTCCTGCCCTTTGGCGGAGGACCCAGGCACTGTCCCGCTCAACAGTTGGCTTTGTTCTGGATTGGCTATGTTTTGGTCCGGATGGCGCTGAGATTCAGGGAACTGAGGAATATGGACCCCGTTGAGAACTTTGTGGAGGATCTCAAGTTGAATATGGAGAGCAAGAACGGGGCGAGGGTAGGTCTCGTCTTCGACGAGCGTCGGAGTTGAAGCGCGAGGAGGCTGCTGTAGGTGATCATGGGAAAGTGCTCGGTGGAAAGGACTAGGAGAACTCTTAGAATTAGATATAGTGTCTTCGAAGTCAACCAAGGATGGCATGAGGCTCCGCGACGAACAATTCAGGAATGCATTACTTCTTACGGGGCTTAGACCGCCCTACTCTAAGTAGGAAGAATTACCGAGCAAACGGTAGTCGTTTGAAGCGAGTTCATGACGTAGATCCTAGACAGTGCATTGGGAGAGCAGCAAGATCATCATGTTTTTGGCCCCGTCCCTAATTGTTTGCCTCTTCCCCGCACCAACCATCCTCCCATTGGCGCACTCGTGCATGCAATGCAGTGCCAGCTATAGCATCCTTCTCTGTTGCTTATCACGCCCCTCTGTTCCTTATCATGCGTTCAATCGAGGCGCTTTTTCTTTCTTTCGTCAATCCTCCACTGCTCTTCGTCGCACCTTAAAGATCACAATGAGCTCTTTCTATGGGTCCATAGAAACGATTGGCCTTTCGAGTCTCCTTACCCGCGGGTACTCCTTCACACCTCTAGACCTGCCTCCGCTCACCACACTATTCACCGCTCCAACAGGCTGCTCAAACTTGTGGTACCAGACCGACACCAAAGCCGCGAATCTGCTTAGCGGGTGGCAAGAAGTGGAGTCCGAGCACGCATATCTCGCATGTCAAGCCAAATCCGTAAACCCGACCTACAGCCCCGGCATGTGTCCTGAGGGCCAAACGATTGTCAGAATGACCGAGTGGATGTCGCCAGCAGCGCCGCAGCAGAACACGAGCGTTCCTGCGAGACTATGGCAGGCGGTGTGTTGCCAAAGGTGAATCTATTCCTCGCAGAAGGAATCCTGCGCCTTTTATCCTGCATAGCTGAGATAAGCTAATCGGCATCCGAAGTGGCTTTACCATAGGCTTTACAGAGGTTCTCGCCGTGGACACCACAGTTGTCAACGCCCCCTTCTTTTCCTCATACTGGGGCTGCGAGGGCGACTTCACCACGCCTTTCTCCGCGTATGCTCCCGGCTACCTGGCTTGGAAGACTGTAGGGAGTAGCGAGGTTCAAACCACCGTCCGAGTGTAAAGCTAGGTGACATCCCCCACTGGAGGTCAATTCCCAACTTGGCTCCCTACTGTGCTGGAAAGCGGATCGCTTTTCGCTGGCGCGGTTAGCATATTTTGGCAAGAAGGGGATCTGCCGCTGTTTCCATCCCAGTACGCCGCCTCGCTTGCCCAGGTCATTGGCGCGCAATACACTGCGACCACGACGTCGCCGCCGTCGTCGACGACTTCTTCTCCGTCCCCCGTCTCCACATCGACTGTACCCACGGCAACGAGTCCTCCGCAAGCCCAGTCGACAGACCACTCTGGCCTCACCGCCGGCGCGAAAGCCGAGATCGCCATCGGGGCCATAATCGGAGCCCTCTTTCTATGCGCGGCCGCATATTTTATTCTCGTCAAGCGCAAACGCATGCGAGTAGCCCAGGAATCCACGCCGGAAATGGAAGGCGACAGGGGCATCTGGAAAGTGTTCGCGGGGG